GTGCTCGCTCGTCCGTCGTCCTCGGATTCGAAGACCCGGATGGCTCCATCCTCACCGCCCTCCTTCAGACCCCCCTATTCGCTTTCGGTACTCCCATCACCACGTCACGCTGGCGTGATAAGCTGCGCCTCCGACAGTGTACGAGGTGATGGGAGTACCGAAAGCGAATAGGGGGGTCTGAAGGAGGGCGGTGAGGATGGAGCCATCCGGGTCTTCGAATCCGAGGACGACGGACGAGCGAGCACCGTCGATTTGCTCAGGTCGACGTGCCCATCGCGGAGGTTGGGTGAGGCGAAGGCGCGCAAGCGCAGGATTCTTGACGAGCTCGGTCAACAGGGTCGACGTCGAGTGGACAGCGCCGCCAGGGGCTGCCCGGGTGCTGACATTGCCGATGAGAATCCGAGACCACTTGACGTCCCTGGAGACATGGTGATCCGGGTCGAGCTTGAGGGCAGCACGAAGGGTCGGGAGATGTTCGTCAACGCAGCGGTAGGAGGTGGCAGGAGGGAAGGCCAGGACGATGTTGCCAGAGGAGCTCGGATAGACCGCAAGCGCAGCCATTCCTCCAGCAGTTGGAATCGCAGCCAGTGCTGCGTTCACATCACTGACCAGTTGGGCAGGGGGAGTCTGAAGCAAGTGGACCGGCGCGGAGCCAGTAAATCGAACCACGTACCGCAAGGGCTCTGCAACCTGCTTGGGCTTAGGAGCCTTCGAGGTAGCGGGCGGGTTCGGAGTCGTCACGGGAGGAGCCGAACGAGGTTTAGCGGCTGCAGCCGCATACGAGCGCTTCTTCGGAGTGCCACGTACCTGATGTTGGGGAGGAGGGGGGGCCATCGCCTGCGACGGGGGGGTCGCAGTCACCATTCGAGTCTCCAAGGCATCAAGCCTGGCGTCGAGGGCGGAGCGAAGGTCCTGGAGGGCCGCTGTGAGGTCAGGTCCAGGGGTCGAAGAGGTGGGTGCAGGAGGTGCAGGAGGCTTGATAGTGGATTTGGCGATGGCGACCGCAGTGGCCATGCGTTTCTTCATGAGGGGGTTGCCCAGTTTCACGGCTGTCCCATTTGCCTTAATGAGAGCCATGACCATGGTCTGCTGTACCGCATAAAAAGCATCGACGACAGAGTCCAGGTCACGCAAGGCATCAGATGGTCCCTGATTTTGCCACGGCCGGAGAGCCTGACGGATAGCCAGGGTGAAGTTGGGGAGGTGAGAGGAGGGGTCTTCATAGGAGGAGGACGACGCAGGGGACGGAGCCCGGGCGCTTGTCGAAGCAGATGGTGGTTGCGGTTCAAGATCCATGTGTTACAATACGCAACAAACACTCAACAAATCATAGTGACCTCTTCTAACGGCGCAGAGCGGGTGCCTTCTTCTGCCCGCAATAACAAAGCTGAATCACTTGGAACTTGATGCATGATGCCCGTCTTTCTGTAATAGTCCATCTGAGACGACGGCATCCTCAGCAAATTGTACCGTTTGAGATTACTGCTGCGCTGTACTTTATCATAGGAGCATAGCTTGCCCTGTCATTCTTCCAGCAGACGGAGAGTCCGGAACTTCATCAACGCATATATGGAGGGAGGCGGTCAAAGCAGCAAAGAATGCGCGATGGACTGGTTCAACGTCAACCACAAGTGCTGTTACACGCCGACTCACTCAGAAGCAATCAACTATTGAATGTTCTGTACGAATCAAGCTACAAAGAGTGCTAACGAGATCAGAACCACTCACCCAACGCAGCTATTGCTCATGACTCAGGAACCAGAACGTCTCCCATCTCCTCGAGGAATTTCTCATAGTCATCCTTTGGCTTCGGCTTCTGACCAGCAGTTTCTGCGTTCTTCCCCTCTTTCGGTGGCGGAGGCGCCGCGGAACCAAACTGGCCCTTCAAAGTGCTCAGAAGATCTGGCCTGGCAGCAAATGCGACAGGCTCTGGTTCGGCAGAACCTTCCTTTGAGCCTAGTGACGGCGCGGCATTGACATTGACCTTAGACGTTGCGCCAGCCGCTCCTGCCTTTTTACGCTTCAATACTGTCGGTACGAATGCTGTGCTCTCCTTCTTAAAGTCGCGCAACTGCGGAGCTGCCTCGACTGTTGCTGCCGTGGCAGTTGCCTTCATTGAGGCGGAAAGAACAACACCGCCCGAGATCGGTGGCCGATTTGGAGGCGGCGATCCAGCCATTCTCGATGCTCGATGGGCCTGATATGTCTGGTGCGGGATCGATGAAAGCGGATCTTGCATCGCTGAAGCAGATTGCGATCGACGAGGGAAGAATCCAGGTGGCGGCGGGGGTAACGGAGGTTGTGGGAACCCAGTAGGTCCTTGGAACATCGGTGGAAAGCCCATAGGAGGTGGCGGGATGCCTGAGGCAGGAAAGCCAGGAGGTGGTGGCGGAGGAGGTAATGGTACTCCTAGAGGGACGGGTAGGGTGGCAGGCATAGGGAAACCCATTGGGAATAGAAGAGGAGGAGAACCAGCGGGGGGCGGGGGCACAGGACTGTAGAAGTCCATCGGAGATAGCGGAATAGGACCAGATGAAGGCATGTAGGGAAGCGGAGGAGGAGCTCCATAGCCGGACGTTTGAGGAGTTGGTGGCAAAGGTGGGGCAGATGGGGCTTCTACAATCTTGATTAATATGGATTCCAGCTGAATGCAATCAACCACTAACCTGGAGGAGGAAGAGAACCATCTTCCGGTGGAGGAGAGCCTTCTGGCATGGGTATGTCATCATCGCTATCCACCTCTTCTGATCCTGGCGGGGGTCCTTCCGGCATTACGATGTCATTGTCTTCCTCGTCTGCCACTCCTGGTAAGAAGGGTTACAACCCATCCGCTGCACGAACGCACCTGACTCCTCATCCTCACTAGTAATCTCGTCCGGTCGCAGCGCTGATCATTGCTTAAGTGAACCACCGGTACATGTGGACAAAATGACTCACGTCGCTCTGCATATGGCATTCCAGGGGGCGCGACTCCGTATGGGTTCATTACGGGATCGTAATAAATACTCCTTTCAGGATGTCTAGGCAGGCCATGCTTGTTGAACAAGTTTCTTGACTTCTTCGATACATCCTCAGGCTCCCTATCCGTTTTCTCGTTCTGCTGTTTGCGTCCCCTGAAGACCAGTTTGCGATGTTCTGGATGTTCTGCAACATATTCTTCCTTTTTCTTATTGATATTCTCCAGCTGAGACTTGAGTTCAGCAAGACGAGCTTTGTCTGCTGATGTAGCATCTGATTTGCTCTCAAGCGTAGCAATCTCTCTCTCAAGTTCTAGCAGCAATCAAGAGTCATGAGTCTGCGTTGACGCAAACTATGAAGTCGAGCAGTCTTACCTTGAGTGTCCTTCTTGACCAATGCAAAATCCCGGACTTTTGCTCTTTCAGTTTTGTTCTACTGCAAGTCAATTGATGAGATGTGTCGCACTGGATCAGTGAAATCATTTGCCTTCTTTAGCTCTTTCTTCCGCTGTGCTTTCCCTATAGACGTATATCGTTAGTCAAGGGCCATATAGCCTTGGGAAGAGTCGAAAGTAATCTGGACTTACGGAATGCTTCCGCTGGATTCAGATTCTTGCCCTTAGCCATGGCTCGTCTGATTGCTGAACGGGGATTTTCAACCTAGGAATGCAGCGTGCGGTGTATGACAAGTCAAAAAAAGCTAGAGCACCCTTGCAGAACGATGAAGGTCAAGTCAAGCGATGCAAGTGGCCACTCGCGACGGAGCGGGAGCGCCGCACGTGCGTTCGGGTCTTTGAGTCATCGAACGGTGCAATCGCGCCCTTCCACCACCACCACCAAGTGGTAGCTTCCCTCGTTCGGGAGGCTTCACGGTTGTCTCCACCCCCTTTTCCCACTGAATCATACAACGACTACGGCAACGCAGACAGCGAGGACTTCATCGTCTCATCCTGTTCTCTATCATGTCCATCCAAAGTGTTACCGGAACTCCTCAACCGGCCAAGCGCTCGTCCAAGATGGCTTCTGCTCAGTCTCTCAACCATCTGCTCAACTTCACCCTACCTCCGAGGCAGTCTCACCAGAGCTTGCCGCGGAGGGGTAGGAGGTCAAGCGTTCACCCGGCTGTTTGGAACAAGGAGAGTGAGTGCTACCGCGTTTGCTTGACAGCCATAGATATCGACCATGTTCGTCCATCCAGGGTTTGTTAACGCTCAGTATCGGTTTGTTATGAATCCCAGCGGCGACTATACTGTACATTTTGCTGATCCGGACATGTAAGCTTTAATTTCCTTAATATCGAGCCTTCTGTTGAGCTGATATTCTTCACCCAGCTTCTTCCAGTGGGACGACATTCTCCAGGTCATTGTACCCCGCGTTTCTGCTATAGCCTCTGCTGCAGGTTCAGAAGAGCAACTTCTTCAAGATGAAGGTGTTATGACGTGCCCGATCTGTCTGTCCCCTCCTACTGCGCCTAGGATGACCAAGTGTGGTCATGTAAGTCATTATCCCTTGAGTCTTCTTCCCTTTTTTGAACTGCTGTTCAGGTATTCTGCTTTCCATGTATCCTGCACTATCTTAATACCATGGATAATAACAAGTGGGCGCGATGCCCGATCTGCTTCGATTCGGTCAACGAGAGACAACTCAAGAGCGTCAAATGGTTTGACGTAGTCCCCTTGCCTGACGATGCCGAGGAGGTCCCTGCGGAAGCCTCGTCCTCGTCCGCCTCGCTCGATGATGGACTAGTTGCTACACCTCACGCAGGCTCTGCTCTGCAGATGCGACTCATTCAACGACCTCAGATTACGACGCTCGCGTTGCCTCGCTCGAAAACCTGGCCATCTGACTTGTTGCCTCCGCATCAGGCTCCCTTTCACTTCCTGCCCGACGTCTTTGCCTATTCGAAGTTCATGCTTGCCACTCCTGCGTATTTGATTACGGATCTCACAAGGGACCTTGATGACCTGGCCACGGAGCGGCGGGTGCTGGCCAGCATGGGCGATGACCTCAGTGTGAGCTTTGTAGATGCAGCTGACGCCAAACTGCGAGAGCAGCTGGCCAAAGCGGCTGCCTTGGAGACCCCTCAACTGCAGGAGGCGGTGGACAACGCTCTTCATGCCCAGCGGCAGATCTCCGATCGCTCTATTCTCCATACCAGACGAAGGAATGAAGAGCAGTCTCGCCTGATCCCTGCAGAAGAGATTCCTCAAGACTTCTTGGCTACGCGAAGTGGGTCTCACACCCCTTCCTTCATTCCGCAGCCGTCTCCTGCTCCGACGCCTCCGTCTCCCTGTACACCATCGTCCACATCACAGCGCAACCCTAGACAACGTCGCAATCTCAATCCTCCTCCTCCATCCACATCCACATACTACTACTATCAGGCTGCGACAGGCATGCCGATCTTCTTGCACCCGCTCGACATCCGGATTCTCTTCTCGCATTTCAACAGCTATGCAGCATTTCCGGATACCATAACTGTGCGTGTAGAGTCGTATGCGGAGAGTACCGTGAACGACGACTTGCGAAAGCGCTGCAAATACCTCGCGCACTTTCCGGAGGGCGCCGACGTGGTATTTGTGGAGGCTGATCTCGAGGGGGTCGTTGGCAGAGAGGGTCTGAAGAACTTCGAAGGCCTTCTCAAAATGCGCCGTGCGAGGCGCAAGGAGAAGAACAGGAAGGACGATAGAGCTCGCGCTCGTGCAGAGGAGCATGAGAGAGAGAAGTTTACGCAGGTCTGGAGCCAAATGGGACATACTGTACCTTCGCCCTTGCTTGTGCAGAGGCCATCATCGCCTGCGGACATCGATGAGCCCTCTGAGTCTTTGGCAGAACATCAACCACAGCAGCAGCTTGCAGGCGCATGGGGTGCCAGGAGCTTCGCTTCCGCGGCACAAGCTGCACAAGGTCATCCGATGACGCAGCGGCCTCCATTGCGCCGAGAGAGGGAGATAGAGAGGGAAGAGGACGAGTGGGATGTTGACGCCGCATTCCACGAACTGGAGCAGAGGGGCAACAGGACTGGAGGCAAGAAGAGGAACGCGAGGATGATGGTGTTAGGAAGCGGCGGAGGGAGGAGACGATGATACACCACGGTTACAGGACAAGATCTTACCATCATCGTGTCTTTACTGCATGCAATCAGGAAATCGTGTAGCAACAGTCATCTAAGTCAGTACATGGAATTGGCGGAGGAGCCTCCCCGAGTGTATTCTACAAATCGAGACCACTAGTTCCCGAGATTGAATACAGGCAGACAATGGGAGAGGAACGATATAGACAATGATTATGTAGATAACATCAAGGGAATATTGTGCATCATCCATGCAAGAGCACATATAACAAGAACACAACGAGCGAGAGAGGACGGTATACACGTGGTGAGCGCACGGATAGCATGTCGTGACCGTTCATAAAGAAACGAAAGAAAAGCTCAATCATCAAATGATTTGCAGGTAGTTTGATGGCGCAACTGTAGTTGAGAAGAACCAAGTCAATCCACCGGAGATCCCACGAGATGAACACTACTCACTTCCTATAGTGCCATCATCTTTCCTCGCCTGCCACCACTTGCCCTGTTTATCAAGGATGTCCATAGTCTCGCCTTTCGAGAACGATATCTCATTTGGATCATCAGGAGATGCAGTGTCTGCGAGGCTCTCAATATAACGAGTAATTGAAGGAGGAAACGATCTAACTCACATGGGTACATTGCCTTCGCTCTGTATACCTGGCTTTCACCATTATAGGCTGTCTCGCGCGGGTTCGCGCCCGGGCTCGCGGGCTGGTTCATCGTGCCTCCGGGGCTAAGCGAAGCACCGCCACCGGTCATCAAGGGCGAGCTTGGAGAGAGGTTGTTGTCGCCTCCGCCTACTGAGCCTGGTCGACCACCACCATCACCACCTCCACCAATAGGTCCATTGTTAATACTGCCTGTGCCGGCAATACTCCTCTGAGGACCCTCCATGCTGCCCGCGTTGTAGCTGTTTCCACTTCCAAGCGGGCCAGCGAGACTGCTTGCCATCTTGGTGTCATACGCTGTCACGCCTACAGGGCCAGTAAATCCGGCCTGGTAGCCGTTGCCTGTGCCCATAGCATGCATCGATGCAGCACGTGCCGCCCTGCGGCGTCTCGAGGGTGGAGTGAGGCCGCCGGTGCCAAGGGAATTAAAGAGGTGGAGCAGGAGCGAGTCCTCTTCGGAGGTAAAGTAGAGAATCCAGAGGATGTCGACGACGGCAAGGATGAGCCATCCGGCCGCCATGGAGTCCAGAGACGCGTGTCCAGAGAAGATGCCCTGGTTCACACCGAAGACTGAGAAGACGATGGCAACTGCGCCGAAGACTGATATTTGGAAGCGGTGCATGCCGATCGAGTCGGTCGCCAGTGTGTGCAGCACACCGATGATGAGGAACAGTTGTAGGAAAATCGCAAACCATAGCACACCGACGGCATCGTGGCCGACTGCGATGTCCTTCAGCCTGCAAGAACGTCAAAACTTGCGCTGAACTCACAGTCAGCAGTTGCTATGGCTTGTGAGATGAACGCCAAGAACCATCCTACCTACATTCATCGCAATCTGATCAGTTGCGCAAACATCTCAACAGCCTGCTAGACTCACCACGGCGAGTATGAAAGTGAATAGGAAGAGGTAGTGGGTAAGTATTGGCGTGAAGTCGTAACCCTCGCTTCCACGCGGCGGCATTTTTGGGCGCAAGCAATGGTCGTGTAGACAGTTCACGTGAATGAGATGATGTGGGTGTTCAGGATAACCGAGGCGGCCAGCAGCAACAGGTCGACCGCACTGCTAACCGGGTTGCAGCGGGGAGGAGGGGGCCTCGAGTGAAGAATGGACCGAATGACGGAGTGCTGCGAGCTGAGCTTGGAAGCAATGCCGCAAGTGGCGACACGTTCAGTTCCCACACCGCGCGTCTCGAGTGACCACCATCGTCCAGGCAATGCCGGCCTTCCCTGCACACAGATGAACTTAGGTCAGACACGGTGCGCCATGTCGCCGCAGCGGACGACATCTCCAAGCTATAGACGAGAGAGGGACGAGAGCCATGTCCGCGGCCTCGTTCCTTCAACTGTAATCGGGTGTTACATTTAGTCTCGTTCATCAAGAGCGTTGTAGACACGCGGAGCAGTTCAACTGCAAGATCAGCCCAATGATTGCATATCAATGCGTTGAGCGGCTTGCGATTGTTAGAAGAGACACTTGAGACGAGTTATATACACCAATCGTTATCGATGCATCATGTATCAGATGCGTCAAGTATATTGGCCCGTCTCGTCGATGGCAGTCTACTCCCGGCCTCAACGTCTCTCTGGGCGCGCTCCGTCAACATAGAGCGCGACGGTCGGAAGACCCCCCCCCCCCACACGGCGCCTCGGAGGAATTTCGGTAAGTAGGACGGGTGGGAAAATACTCATTTGGGAGCACTAAATCTGAGTGTCGAAGTCCACTTTCCCACGGGGCGATAGCATCAGGCGGCGGCTTCTCTCCCTAGCGTGAGCATCGGCGAGGGCTTCGAACGAGCTACATTTTCTCTTGTCGGGATTTGCGGAGATTCTAGTGTAAATCGTAGTGGCCACATTCTCAAAAGTGGCTATAAAAACTACGGATCCTTAGATCTACACCGATGCTATTGACCGTATCCTCCGCTTTATGTGATGAAAATTTTTTACATAGGTTCCATTCACATAATGAAAACTCTAGCTTTGTTTGTGGGCCGGCATGCTTTAGATTAAGACAACATTCACAGCCTGCACAGATTTATTTTTCCACGGGAAACCTGATGAAAAAATGGTGAAAATATTTTAAGTCTGGATATGGAAATCGTTTGGAAATTGGGCGGAGACAGCTGAATTATGTTACAATTGCTTCACCAAAACATATCGGTATCACATATTCTTGGACTGAAATATCTTCCTTTGGGAAATAGTTTCACTATTGCTGATACGTTTCGGTAAAACAATCATAACATGATTTAATTGTCTCCGCCCAATTTCCAAACTATTTCCATGTCCAGACATAAGATATTTTCACCATTTTTGCATTAGGTTTCCCGTGGAAAAATAAATCTATGCAGGCTGTGATTGACCGGGCGTGACAGCGCATTAGCCACTCGGAAGGGCAATCGCGATTTTCAAAGTCCGATCGTCCCATCAGTGGCACCGGCCGAATAAAGGAGATTGCCGCGGATGCCGACGCGAGCCATTGTCGGAGTTCTACGGCAAGATGTGGCTGATGGTGACAACAACAGTGGAGTTGCCGCGAGACCTCTCTGTGGCCGGTCGGTTCTTGCCAGTGGGGAGCATACGTTCCAGTACGGCATCCATAACGCGCATGGGTACTAGTGCTGCTCAAAGGAGCGATGTCGACACCCGTTTCTTCCACGCAGGCGCGGATGATGATGCTGGCTTCTGCTGTGCTCTCACCGCCTCATCTCTCTCACAGCCTAAAGCTTGTCGCTTCTGAGCTCTCGCTGGCATCATCCTACCCCACTTCTCTTGATCCTGAATCACCTCGCACCCAGTGTGATGCCTTCGCTCGTATGATTCGCTTTTGACCGGCAGCAAGCATATCGTTTGGTATCTCTTCCACCATCCTCCCACTCGTCGAGAGCAGTCTCCAGATCCTAGCCTTGGCAGCGCAAGATCGTGCGGATGGAGATCGTGCGGATGGAAATGGTGCGGCTAGGGTTCAAGTATGCTGTGCCAGTGTCTGCCGGGGTCGTGCTCGCGCTCGTGGGCTATCTGATTGTACGCCGTTGGTGGTTCTGTCTGTATCACCCTTGTCGTAACTTTGTCTTTAGAGCGTAATGGCGGCGTTAGGCCAGATCTTTCCTCGCGTAGCTCGGACCCCGTCTAAAACTCGCGACATTCTGCTAGTTGAAGAGATGCGGCTGGTCCGACAGAGTCAGCGACGCCATTCAACGATCTCAAGGCAGCAGGAGGTGTATATTCGACGTTCCTTGTCGATATCTGCCGGTACCGCTCCACATACCGCTCCATCACTAGCTGCGGCGAGCAACCGTGTGCGATTCACCGATTCACCGATAATACGTTCGTTCGGCGAGGCGATCGCTGCGATTAAGGTGGAAGCGTCTGCAACTCGTCCATTATGCCATGCTCGCTCTTTTGAGTACTCCTCTTTGGCCGAAAATGCCGCAGAAGTACACGACAATTGGCTTGCAGAGGGCGACAAGCGGGCAAGAGTTTTCCATAAGTCTCATACACATTCTCCAGAGGATACGATTGTGCGTGGCAGGCGGCCGTCATTTGTTCACGTGCGCTCTGTGCTGGAGGAGACCACTACCAACGAGCGACACTACGCCGTTGCATCAGGGAAACCCAAGATAGTCAAAATGGCGAGTGTACCGAGCAGTAGTCGTGAGTTATCTGATTCATTAGTATTGCAACGAGAGAAAGATTGGTTGATCTGCATCCCGTAGTAAAGCATATGAGGGAGCTGTTGATCCGTCCTCGCAACATGTCATTGAAGAGACATAGTCCCCCGGTGCCGAGGACAGATCCATACAAGGCACCGTACAACTTTCCTTCCCCGGCATCTCCCGCTGCAGCCAATTATATTTGCGAAGTGAAAACTAGCAGGGGCCACGCTGCGACTTCCGTTCATAAGATCGCAATGCTGAAAGACGAGGCGCGGGAAGAGACCAGCGTACATGTCATCGACTCGACTCGATTATGCAATCTAGAGCAACCGCGGGTCTCACAGGAACAGCGGATAGGCACTAAACCTCGCTCGTCACGGAGGCAAACAAATGAGCACAGCCGTGATCACTCCTTGGGAAAAACGATGCGGAGGTGGTCGCTGCACTTTCCGCTCGCTCATGCTCATACTCCACGCTCTCCACCACTCGACTCGACCCCGATGAAAAAGCCAAAGATGACGTGGGTCTATTTATATGGGATCTGAACTCTGATGACAGTACTTAAATCTGTAGTCCCTTAAGGTCGACCTGCACCTCTTCTCGTCCTTGCAAGGCAACACTTGACGGCCCCGATACCGAGGCATTGACACGAGCCTCTGTGAACTCCGGACCGTCAAGTCCGTCGAATTCCAGGAGGGCGTCATGGCATGCTCGTTTTCATCGTCGATCGTCGGTTGCTGTATGACGGCGAGCATGCGACGGCAGGCGTGGTTGTGTTGCCTGTGTTTTGTATGGCTACGACGACTGTACGCTTGGCATTTCCGCGAGTTCCCCCGCCCCCGCCTTCCCCTCACTCCTTAGATTCTCCTTCTTGGAAGTTAACTTGGAATAACTTATTACATCGTTGATTGTACTTCTACATATTTCGGCGCCCTAGATGCATGCCTGTCGTTGTCATTATCCACGCTCCTTTCCAGTCGTATAAAAATGTATATCCACTCTTTATTCCAGTGACTTCTGAGTGTCATCGCAACTGCGATCTGCTCAGCCACGCTTGAGCGCTAGTTGAGAGATAAGATAAGATGGGCCACCAATGTGCTTAATTGCCGCTGGTGCATGAAGGAGACCGATCTGCTTCGCGCTGAGCACACTTCTCGCTGCTTCGCCCACGAACCGGCTCTGCTCGCATGGATGCTCTCGACCCTCCACATGGCCTCGCAGTTCCGCCATCTGCAGCCCTGATCCAGCGCTCACCTGCCAGCAGTCCCCATCCACCTCCACCGCCACCACAGACGCGCCAACAACCAGCCCAGTCCGCTCGGCTGCACTCATCCTCCATTGCCTCACCTATGCCAGGTCCGTTGCCGACCGACACGATGCGGCCACTTCACTATGCATCGCGCACGGCTTCTCCAAGGAATTCTATGAGAACACCGAGGCCTATGACACCGCAGGTCGGGCCAGCCACGGAGGGTGAGAGCGCGGAGATTCTTGGGTCTGCGATGGGTCCGCGCTCGCCGGATTCTAACAGGCCACTGAATGTGACGGATGCGCTGAGTTATCTCGATGCGGTCAAGATGCAGTTCCAGGACAAGCCTGACGTGTACAACCACTTCTTGGATATCATGAAGGATTTCAAGAGTCAGGTGTGAGTGTTGCCTTTTTGTTTGTGCTGGCGGACATACAGGCTATGTGTGCTGTGGCCCTGCGAGTGCATTCCTGGCGTTAAGTGTGCGACGTCGCGAACCGATTCCCTCATGGTTTTTGCTATATTTGCTGTCTTTTTCTCCGTGGTCTGTGCGTATTGTTCTTCCCGTCTGTTCTAATACCATGATAGGATCGACACCCCAGGGGTTATTGAACGTGTCTCCATGCTATTCCATGGCAACCCGTATCTCATCCAAGGTTTCAACACGTTCCTGCCTCCGGGATATCGCATTGAGCTCTCGACTGATCCACGCAATATGGATACCATCACAGTAACGACTCCAATGGGGATAATGACGCAGAATATCTCTGCATATGGTGCACCTGTGCGGATTCCTCGTGATTCACTTGCGCCGGGATCGAGCGCGGTTCCATCCTTCCTTCAGCAGCCACCATTGGCCCTGCCTCCGCCACCGGTGCTGCCGGTCGGTATTGGCAACGGCTCTCGTCCTGCTACACCGTCCAGAATGCATGCCCTCGCTGCTGACTATAACTACACCTCGTCGGTAATGTTTCCGTCTCCCATGGCAGGATCGCAGACGACCGCTGCGGCGTCCTTCCTCGGCAACCTGGCTAATCGGACATCTGAAGGCATTCCCACTGGAGAATTCAACCATGCTATACAGTTTTTGAATAAGATTAAGGTGCGCTTCGAGGCCGACCCAGAGACATACAAGCAGTTTTTGGAGATCCTGCACGCGTACCAGAAGGAGCACAAGCATTTGGAGGACGTACGTCACTTACGATACCATTGCACACAGTTGCAGCTGACCTATCCGCTCCTAAGTCACAAGTCTATGCTCAGGTGCAAATGTTGTTCAAGAACGCGCCCGATCTCATGGAGGAATTCCGAGATTTCCTGCCGGAAGCCTTGGCGCCTGCTACACAATCTGTAGGGCTGGTGGGTATTCTCCCACATCCTACAGGCGGCCCTGGTGCGTGGTCACAAGGAGAAGCGTCAACGTCTACTGGCGAGAAGGGCAGAACGCCCACCAGGAGGAGAAAACGGGCTCCAGAAAAGGAAGTTCCAGGCGCACAGAAGACAGTCGGCGGTCGAGTACGTGTATTTCTGTTCCCAAAGTTGCATCGTGTTAATGACATCCTTATTTGCAGACTGCGAAGCGACCGAAGGTTAACCAGAAACCTGAACCGCAGTCGCCCAGATATTCAGGATATCCCCCACCGCCTTCTCCGCCTCTTGTTTATGCCCCTCAGAATCAAGCGGTAGCCGTGCTGCAGCATCCTCAAGCAGGCATTGTCCCTCACCCCGCACAAATCACCGCCACACTGAATATGAACGGCGCACAAAACACAACTCAAGACGAGCTGATGTTCTTTGACCGTGCCAAGAAAGCCTTGGAGAATGGCGGGACGTATGAGGAGTTCCTGAAACTGCTCAATTTATTTGCAAGGGACGTGATCGACGCGAAGACCCTCATTGACCGAGCGGAGATTTTCCTGGGCGAAGGCGAGCTGATGACCCAATTCAAAGAGTTGATGGGTTGGGACGATAGGCTTGGGAACATTGAATACGGTCCGCCCGGGAGCATTAGAACAGGTCCTCCGGACCCATTTGCACCGAGACTTCCGGACGACGGACAGGGCCCGAGCTATCGCCGTTTGCCCGAGTCGGTGGGTACTGTGTTCATGCAAATAGTATGGTCATCTGATCAGTAGGACAGGAGGTACGACTGGCATGCTCCGGGCGCCGTGAGCTGGAAAGATCCGTGCTCAATGATGAATGGGTGTCCAACCCTACATGGGCTTCAGAGGAGTCCGGATTCGTTGCGCATAAAAAGAACACCTTTGAGGATCTGCTGTTCAGAAGCGAGGAAGAGAGGCACGAGTTCCAAGTGCATATTGAAGGGCTCGCACGAACCATCCTCGTGTTAGAAGGGCTTGACGCTCGCATTGACGAGATGTCTGCTGAAGAGCGCTCACAATTCAAACTGAAGCCCGGTCTGGGAGGCTCGTGCCCCGCTATCTATGAACGCACTATCCGAAGAATCTATGGCCGCGATGGCGCCACTGAAGTGTTGAAGGCGCTTCAAGAATGTCCTGCGGTCGCCGTTCCTGTGGTCCTCAAGCGGCTAAAGCAGAAGGATGAGGAATGGCGGCGCGCACAGCGGGAGTGGAACAAGACTTGGAGGGAAATAGATTCGAAGAACTTCTACAAGGCTCTTGACCACCAGGGACTAATGTTCAAGGCCAACGACAAGAAGAATATCACTGCCAAGTTCTTCGTCCAGGACATAGCGTCTATCAAAGACTCTCAGGAGAAGGTCCGCGAAGCTGAAGAAGGACTTTCCTGGGCAAAGGGCAGCTTGGGCTGTCAGCTCGACTACAATTTCTCGGACGCAAGCGTCTTGCAAGACTCCCTCAAGCTGATATTATCCTTCTTGGACCATTCTATGTCGCAATACAGCCCGGCGGAACGTAGAAGTATCGAGCGCTTCTTGCATTCATTCGTTCCGACGTTATTCATGTTCGCACCCCAAGGTTTCGACTCCGCTTGCGGGCCCTTACAGCCGGGACACGAGGACGAGGTAGGCGACGATTTAGCGGATGGGGATGGAGCAGATGACTCGACAAAGTCTGGCCGTGATCGCAGCGGCAAACGGCAAACCAGCGGCGGCCAGTCTGTAGGCGTGCCGCCAGGGGATTTGAGGAAGAGACTACTGAAGACTGCCCAGGACAGATCGCCGAGAAACCGTCCACAACCCTTGTTCTCTAGGTCGGCTGCACTTTCGAGGTCAGCATCCCCGGTTCCAAGCGATGGCCAGCCGCCGACGGCTAAGGCTAAGGGTTCAAGACTGAACAAGGAGCTAGACATGAATAACGAGCACCTCTACACAGACGATATCTGGATCAGGGAAGCTGTTATTGATTCGACGATTGCCGTGGGTGATACCCGCATCATGAGACGATCCTTCTTCGCGAACACGACTTTCTACACGTTATTGCGCCTCTTGCAGGTATGCCGTCACAATCGCTTTGAGCCGATGAATGATTGACGCTCTTGTCTAAGCTGCTCTATTCACGGCTACTGATCTGCAAGGAAATAGGAGCACGACTTGCGGCTGAGAAGCATGCCTCATTACTTGCTAATAATGTCGCAGTGCAGCTGGGATTGGACGAGCCAAACGGACCTCCGGCCATCCTTGCACAAGCCTTAGAGGCAGTCGGAGAGGTTCGTGCGGGAGAAGAGCCCAACGTGCTATATTTGTATATGCTGGACGCATGTGAGAAGGTGTTCGACAGTGAGCTAGACCAGGCGACCTTTGAAGAGCACATGCGGTGGTTTTTTGGCACAAAGGTGCGGGCTAGAGCACACGAGACAGAATCCAGCTAATGGTCATCCTCAGGCTTACCATGTATTCACCCTGGATCGAATCATCACCGCCGTTGTGAAACAGGTATGTCCCCGGGCTGTATTTGGTTTTGAATTATGCGGTGACAACTCGACGAAGGTACAAACCATTATGGCGGACAACAAATGCCAAGAATTATGGTATTTGCTACAACGATCGCGAGGCGAGAACAGCCTCACCTTGCACGACGCTATCAGATATAGAAGGGAAGCGGAGCGTCATGTGGGATCAGACGATAACCTCTATAGGGTCGACTGGGTGGGTCGCTAACTTGAAATGCGTGGTCAGTATCTGATGTGTACCTCTCAGGACGGCCAATCGAAGCGGCTGCTGGTGCAGCTGGTCGGGGCTACTGATCCCAGTGTGGAGCATGAGCGAACGGCTCGGGGGCGCTGGAAGGAATACGTCGCGACGTATGTAATGGAGTATCCGACCGAATGGATGCCAGCAAGACGTGCATCGGGAATGCCTCTATTTTTGAAGAGGTGCGTAGCAGCTATTTCGGTGCGTGTGCGGAACGGGCCCGATTGACCAGTATTTATAGGTGCGTGATGGACGCCGCCCAGAAGGGCGAGGCGGTTGCGCGGGTGGGGATGCTGCGGGTGGTCGTGCGGACGGGCACGCACAAGTTGTTGTACGAGGCGGGGGGCGAGGACGTGGTGTGGCGACGGCGTGGGGCAGAGGAAGAGGCGGCCCTTCGACGGCGGGCAGCTGTCCGGGGGGACGAGCGGCAGCGGTGGCTCAGCCGGCAGGGATGGGGGTCCGTGGGAGCGTAGCGCTATGTATAGTATGCCTATTAATAGGAGCCAGTGCGGATTATGGGTGACATAGGAGGACTAAACCGGGATAATTATCATTTTGTTGGTCAATCAGCCTGTTCCCGTTTGGATGCTATCCTCCCTCGCGTATATCATCTCCTTCCCTTCCTCCCCCTCCAGGCCAAGCTTTGCCATCGTCGACGACGACGGCGACGACGATCTTGCGCTCATCTCGGCGTGCGATCCGCCAAGCGGCACTACGCCTGCATGGCCAAGCCTGCTAAGTTCTCCGCCCCTGCGCCGTCCCCGCGTTCGCTGCCGCGTGTATCACGACAGCATCAACCATCCCCCCGACGCCAGCCTGCATCTCTCCCATCGCCCTCCTCGTCGCTCCTTGCGCTGTTCGCGACTGTCGCTGCATCTGCCTCTACTGTCGACGGTCATCCTCTTCCCACGCGCTCACCCCCGCCTGATTTTCTGTGTCCCCAATTCGGCTGCGCTGCAGCAACCCCCTCCCCAGCGCCTGCTCGAGACGTTGACGAATCCTCGCAGGGGGCGTCTTCGTCAGCGACGGCAGCATCCTCTTCCATCAGAGCTCAGTATGCTAGGAGTGTCTCCGTTGCCGACAAATATGTCTCATACTCTGATGGCCGATGGCGCAAAACAGATGTCTGGACACTGTATGGCTCAACATTCTGCTCAGTAAGTGACTTTTTCGACCAAGTGCCAGGCACGTCATGACGATTTTCCAGGATGGCATCTGCTCCGCAACACCAACAGCCACTACCACTATAGTTGAGACCATGTCTGCCTCGGTCACTTCGACTGCCACAGGGGTGATAGGCACCAATGCCGCAGACAATGTGTCCGAAGACATCGATACGTTGCCATCAGGATGGACCAAGGAATCCCATACAGATCCATATACTCCCGTAATCATCACGTTGTCTGTCGTCCTCGCGATTATGATCTGCGTGACCATCATTTCCTGCGTGTTTTGGAGGCGACGTGCAAAACGGCTGAAGGATCCGGAGAGAAGAACACGGCGGGCGGATGGAGCAGTGGATGATGACACACGGGAGTGGAAGCGATTTCGGTCACAGCAAAGGCTATGGGCCAGGGCCACTGCGAGATGGAAGGCAAACGTGCGACAATCGGCACGTCGGCGCAAGAAACAAACCGCGTCCAGGGACGCTGATCCGCGGCTATCAACTGAATCATTAACCAGAGACTCGTCGAGCTCGTTGCGCCGCTCTCACGCCGAATCTATCTCTTCGGCGCGTAGTGGGGCCGCCAGTAGTGGGGTTTCTTTACAGGAATCCAACTATGCCACACAGCGATCAACATTCACAGATTCTGCTTATCCGCGTCGACCTACTCCCCCTGCCTATCCATCAAACGATGTCGATGTGTCAATAGAACGGGGGGCTCTCTCTCATCAGGTGTCATCCCTTGAATTATCGTTCGGGCGAAATGCTCCGCCTGCACTGCCATTTAACTCTTCTGCATCTGCATCAGCTGGCCCTGTGGATGGACCGCTTCCATACGAAGGATCTCCTCACGCAGGGCATCTAGCCACGGATGATAAGGCTGTGCTTGCACACATGGCGTCTCTTGCAAGCGCCCCACCGTCTGCAGATCCCTCGGCCGCCGACGCGCTCCCAGATTCGTCAGCGCTCTATGCGTCAGTGCCTCCACTTGACGATGAGTTCGAACCTTTGCCACGCTGCCTGCAAGTTGTCGATTGCGATGCCAACGTCGACGTGCAAGCCTCCGGTAGCCGGAGAAGCCTATTGCCGATGCCTCCACATCCTGGCGCTGCTTGCCCACCATCTCCACATAACATTTTGTATATTCCTCCTCCACCAGAGAAGGCCCGCCTTGTGGCGCCTACATTTTACGAATATCCTGTATCATTCGAGGAGGATGTACTCGGAGTCGAGCCCGAGGCAGGCCCTTCCGCGCCTCCATTTGAAGAAACTCAATGTCCTGCCGCTAGCGCGCCGCCGCTGGAGCTCGGTTATGGCACGGAAGATGTGGGCGTGCAGCCATCCGCTCCCCCCGCTGATTCAGAACCCGACGCGGTGAGAATAACAGGCATGGATGTCGCGGGAAGTTCTGGTGGTGTAGGTGCTCCGCCCTCAAGCGTCGAGCAGTCGCTGTCGCTTCACAGGGTCGCGAGCCACCATCTTTCGGAGCATGCGTCGATTTGGCACACCAGTCCGCCTCGCTATCTTCCATAGTACGCGAAGGATTGGTGCCTGCCTCGCGCCGCATATTCGAGGCATTGGGACGAGTTGTAAGCTATTGATGCTGTTCTGTGTCTGTCTGCTTTATCATGTGCTACGCTTTGGAGTAAGGGTTGTGATATCAGGCATGCGTGCGGTTTTGTATGTGCGCGCTGTTATTGTTCTTTGGATAGCTACCAGCAATTTCATCAGTACTTAGGAGTGTTAAATACGCAATATCGCATTAATGAATCCATATGCCAATCCGTGCCCTCTCTACTGGTGGAAGGACTTCGATAAGATTTTCGAAGTTCAAGACGCGAGTGTTGTGTATAAATATCGCTGCCAATATTCACGCGATCCTCCGTCCCGGCGCACAATATTGGTAATGGTGTAGTTCCACTCTGTGGCCAGACCAGCCTTGATTAGGAAGGTGTCGTGGTTCGTGGTAATCCGAAAAGCTCATAGTGAAGTCTTATGAAGATGGAATATGTCATATACATATCGAATTCTGGAGTACAAATGTAGAATGTTCATAGATTGTCCACATCGCCATGATGATACAGATGCGGTCATCTAGCTGGCTACGGTTCCTTGTTTTAGCGAACGTCCAGCTCGAGCTCCGATGAGCTGGCAGGGGCCGTGATATGAAGTGTCAACTTCGGCGACCGCTTGAGACCGTGAGTTGCCTGATGATGAATTTCTCCCTGTCGCGCATGGTGTGGCACAGCATGTGCGTGTAGAAGCTCCGCCGCACGGTCGGAGCCTTCCTTTGAATAATGTGGCTCCAGTGGCATGGTTCGCGAAGCCTCTGGAGAAGGTCTCGGAACATCTATTTTCTCCGCAATGAGCTTGACTGAGCGGCTCCTTTTAAACACATTTAGAAGCCTTGCTTTCTTCTTGCCATGCGTTGGATGGAGCAATCCAGGGGAGCACGAGAACCTTAGCGGGGTGAGTGTCATCTCGCTAGGGATGATCGTCTGTTGGGTCTCGGCCAAGTTGTCGTGTACGAAATACTCGAACTGCCATCTGAGGACTAGCGGTGCCTGATGAGGTTGAAGATCGAAGAACTCTACACCATGAACACTATAAACACCGTTCGAATCGACAGTCAGCACAGCCTGCTGCGATATATAGTCCTTCGGGTCATCGCCCGCAACTCTCAGCGTACGTAGAACGGGCTGCCTGTCAGGATCACCTGTTTGGAATGTGAATACTTGTCGAGTCGTAGGCTTGAAGTCAGCGAGACCAAAGGTAAGAGCATTGACTAGTCCGGTATCTTGCTCAACTTTGCTGCGATCGACGGTGTATCCCATTAGTGTGAAAGTCGGACGAACAGCACCAGAACCTTCCTGGTCAATCCAGAGCTCGATGCGAATGTCCCGAAGCCAGCCCAGGATTCCAGGCAACGGGGGCGCTTCGCATCCGCTGGGGGAGGGGGAGGCAAGAGGACTCGAGATATGGCAAGAGCGAATAGATCGGAGAGACCGTACAGATCGCACGGATCGAGCGGACGTGGTCGTAGAACTAGAGTCGGTGCGACGATGCGCTACGACAGGTATGTCAAAAGCACCACCAATAGGCGTCACAGGCTCAGAGGTAGGTGCGGTGGCGTCCGATTCACGAAGGGAGTTCCCGGAAGTGATGTTGCCTGACTGCATCGGAGAGCAGCTCCGAGACTTGTAAATGCGCCTCAATCCGAGGCGGCCTCTGTCGCTCTTGGCGGGTGAGGAGTTTGCGCTATTCGTGACGATTGAGGGAGAAGGCGAGAACACTGACCCAGAACCAAATAGCGTCCTGGACAGGCTCGACGACGAGCGAGAGGCGCCACTGTAATGCGGGGTCAACCCAAGACAAGCGCCACCATTCGGCGCAACATTCTCTGCAAATCCGGTGTTCTGCATACGAGACGGAGACGGAGAAATTACGAAGTAAGCTGACATCGGTGAGCCCGCGGGTGATATCGTGACGGAGCCTGTAGGGGAGACAGTTGGAGACACTGGCAGAGAGTCTTGCCCTGGACCCACTGAAGAAGCGGCAGAAAATTTGTCGTACACGGAGGGAGGTACTAGGAAGGCGTCAACAGTAAAATCGGAGTCGCCAGTAGCAGACGGCAATCCTTGCTCATAAAAGCCGTTGTTCGGCTCCGCAGGAGATATTTGAGCCATAGGTGAATCACAGCTGGAAGTCCCTGGAGTGCAACGACTGTTCTCTTTGCTGTCAAATTCCACGCCGTGCAGAGGTGTTCTAGATGCAGTATCAAGAGTGCTCTTGATGCAATCGAGGCTGGTTCCTTTACTGCCGGCGTCCATATGGTAGAACCCCGACACCGGCTCTTCTTTCTGGCTATCCACATGGTTCACTTCTTGATAGATACCGCTATCCAAGAGTATTGGAATCTCTCCGAAGCTCGATAGAGCGAAGATGGCATCAGCATCGAGCGAAGGAGACGGACTGGGCGGAGAGAGGAATGCCAGAGCCTGCAGGGCTGGCCAGTTTGCAGGCTGGCGGCCAGCACCAGTCGCATCATGAGCAGTCGCGTGCATTATTAGGAGTGGAATTAATGTAGATGGAAAACAAACAACGAATGTGGTATGGACTGCCTGCAGCGTTCTGTTTGAGGGCGGAGTGGCGCGACGCGTCGTCGCGGTTCGCGTCTGCGATCACATGACCGATTCGGCCTCGGCGCCGGCGAACGACGTCCGTGGCACGCCTGTACTTGCTGCTCTTCGCTGACAGCCTGGCACTTGTCTCATTCTCGCCATCGCCCATGAACTGTTCGTCAGTCGAAGAGATTGCCACATAGAATGTCATCCAATGTCCAGACGATCCGCTTCGCCCGCCTAAAGCCCAAGCAACCTGCACCGGCCCCGACGAAGCCCAAGAACAGACATGCTGGCATCCTGCAGGACCAGCTGCGTAGGTGGGTAGAGAGCAGTGGTCATGAGCCGTGCTTATTCATGTGCCTTGCTAGGTCGCAGAAGGCACCATGGTGTCCGAGCTTTTCCGTGGCTTTCAGGATATTCCTCCTGATCCGAGTCGCTGGAGCAATGTATTCAAACATCCAGGATTGCGATGAGGGTGCGTCGATCCGCAAGGCTATCCGTGCATTGAGAAATCTGAACTAATACAACATTTACTCAGTATTCAATTTCTGGGAGCCGTTGCATTATTTGGATCGAGGGTATGGTTTCCAGACTTGGGAGACATCGCCGATATACGCCATCCGGAGCTGGGCATACGTCTTGCTGCATTTGTTCCCCTCCAAATTTACGATCTTTCTAGCTGGTCCAGAGAAGGTAGCTCATCCTTCGTGCTACCGGTGCCAGATCTCAGGAGTAACTGATCTGTACAATCTACATAGCGACCGGCTTTCTTTGCGGTTCGGGTTCTCCTGGCTGTCATGTCCTCGGTCAGCGAGGCGTACGTGTATCGGGCAGCTGTAGACAAAATCAACTACAGAATGGGACGTTACATGCTCTTCATGATGCTCCTCAGCGCTGGGATGTGGACCGCATCGACTGGTAGCTCCACCCTTATCATTGGCTGTGCATGTGTTTACAATATCTTTCTAGCTTTCCTTCCGTCAACCTTCGCAATGTATGCGAACGCCATCGCGTTCGCCCATGTGATGGAGCCGACCAGCAACACAAACTTGCGCCGCACCCTGTTCGCTACTCTGGCTTTCGCGACGGGCGCCATAGTCGGTTGGCCCTTCTCGATCGCGGTGGCCATCCCCTTCGTTCTGGAGGAGCTTTTCATGTATGGTGTCGACAAGGTCACCTCGGAGAACCGGATATCCTGGGTTTTCGCTCGATGGATGAGGATGCTCATGTGTACGGCCATTGCTGCTTTGGTCTTCGTACGTGTGACTGTTATCTCCCATTCTCTTTTCTCACCTGTCATCTAGGTACCGGTGACTGCGCTAGACACGGTTTTCTACGGCAAACTCACCATTGTTCCGTGGAACATCATCAAGTATAACGTGTTCCCCGACGAGAAGCACGGACCCAACCTCTACGGCACCGAGCCGGCCAGCTTCTACCTGCACAATCTTATCCTTAACTTCAATGTCATCCTCCCGCTCGCATTTGCATCTATTCCTGCACTTGCTATCACCTATGTGGTCAACCGCAAGCGTCTGGGCGAGCGTACAATATACGTGGATCAGACTTCTCCTTACAGGTTGATGGTGATGAGGCTTGCACCGGTGTATCTCTGGACGGCGATCATGACAATGCAGCCTCACAAGGAGGAGCGCTTCATGTTCCCTATCTATCCATTAATCTGTTTCAATGCGGCCGTAACGGTGTATCTGATGAGGGGTTGGCTGGAGACTGCGTTTGTCGCTATGACGCAATCGCCGTACCGTGTAAGTGTACTTACGAGCCTAAACGAGCTTGAAGCTAACGCGAGGAACTTTCCAGGCTTCTCGCTCTGCGCTCTTCAGCCGCTTCACATTATCGATCTTGACCACCGCTAGCATACTGTCCTTCTCGCGGGTTATGACGCAGTGGAAGTACTACCATGCACCACTCTCCGTGTATCATCACCTGGAAGCGAACGAAATCCCGCGCATTCTCAACACTACTGGGCTCGTCTATCTCCCGTACGCTACGGATAAGGAGTTGTCTCTGGATGAGCAGGACGAACAGCCGCGGATTGACCCCGCGCTGATACACAAGCTGGGTTTGCATCTGTGCATCGGCAAAGAATGGTATCGTTTCCCCGGACACTATCTTGTTCCGGATGGCGTGCGGGTGGATTGGATCAAGAGTGAGTTTGATGGGATGCTGCCCACGCATTTCAAGGAAACGCCGTGGCAATGGGGCTTGCCCGCTAGGGTCCAAGGTACCAGAGCTATTCCTGCAGGACTCAATGACCTGAATGAAGAGGCACCCGAACTCTATGTACGTACAGTTTTCCTTGTCAATCATGTGAGTGGACTGATGCGGATGGGTTCAGGTGGACGTCGCCTCATGTGATTACCTCGTCGATCTTGACTTCCCCCTTCACCCGGTGGAATCGGTTCATGAACCCCGTTACGTTATTGATGATTTGATATGGGATCGGGTTGCATGCTTCCCATTCCTGGACGCGCGGCACTCGTCGACGCTGACGAGGATACTTTGGATGCCGGGCGCTCATTGGCAAGAGTCGAACGAGTACGGCGACTACTGCTTGCTAAGGAACCGGGAGAATGTGAAGAGGATAGAAGAGAAGGTGATGCAATCTCAACGATGATACGATCTGGAACGAGGAATGATGGTACTTTAGACAGGTAGTAATCTCGAGTAGTAATAAAGTGCGGCTCCGACTCGCAATATGGCATAAAAGCCCGAATCTGATGAATGAACTCACTTGCGCTGCCTGCTCTTGTGCTTCACTTCATCACTGAGCAGTAATGCGAATTAGATCTCGCCACAGCATGTGTGCATGTGCAAGGGCCACGCAACTCAAATGCACAAGTCCGCGGGTGGCCGCTTCGAGGAGACACGCATCCAAATCAGGGTATGCGTCGTCCTGATATGGAAGGTGAGTTCGCAGAAATATCTGCAACGTCCTGCGCTTAGCTCGCCCAGCACATGCTCGTCGCACATCTGTGGGCTGGCAACACCGTTCTTCTAGGATAGGAGCGGCGTCTTCTTCTGCAAGGTCGATGCCCGGTAGCTGGCATGCCTCACGCAGAGCACATCGCTCAGGCAGACGAACGACCACTGCGGGCCTACATAGCGGAATCTCAAGTGACAGGTGAGTGCATGCGAGAGAGCTGTCATGAATTCACCGTAAATTTTGACGGTGGCGCGCCGTGGCCGGCGTTCTAAATCAGGCAAGAGGGTGGCCGCACAGAGCAGTGTCTTCTCCAAATCGGGGAATCCTGCAGCTCGGCGAGCCCTCCGAGAGCATCTCAAGCGTCGTATCCTTCCAAGTGGCGGCTTCTGTCCGCCTGAGAAGCATGTACCCGGCTTTTCCCACCCACATATACTCTTTGCCTCT